GGTTTAGGGTTTAGGGCTTGCAGAGCACCCAAGCACCATATCTGCTCGCCCTTGATCACGAATCTGATGCGCACCCTGATGGTGTGTGTCTCTTAAGGAGGAGGCGGATCCTTCATTCAGGGGCATACACAAAGCTATTTTTCGATCACTAGCATCGCGATTCTAGGACCCAAATGACCAACGTATCCATTCATCAATCGTTTCGAAGGCTCTCGAATATTCAGCCCTCACACCAACGTTTCGGATTCGGGGACCAAAGCCCCGAATACAAGACTAAACCCTAAACCCTCAACCCAAAAACCCTAAACCCCAAACCGACACCACGGACCCGATAGGATTCTTCACCGGCTCTCGTGATCGCAGCATCGCTTGATCAGTAGCGGCGCTCTCTGCAGAGTGCCACGGGTGCCTTGGCCCACTTCCTGGGTTTAGGGTTTAGGGCTTAGGGCATGTCCAGGGGTTTCCTTTGAACTTGACTCCAAGCGGAAGTGCTTTGGATGAAGGGTTAAGATCAAGAACACCGGAATGAAGTCTCAAGTCGGTTTTAACCCTGAACCCTAAACCCTTATAATATGGGGGCCTTAATAATTAGAATAGGGTTTTGGGGCCATTAGACTACTATAATAAGGAACCCCCAACATTTTATCAGTAATTTTTTAGGCCCCTACATTAGAGCACAGCGCTCAGAGCCCCCTCCTTGTTCCGGCGTGCCGTTGCTGGAAGCATCAGCATCACTGCCACCACGAAGGTTGAGCGCGCCATGGCGAGATCGACGACGAAATGTGCTTGGCAAGAAAGCAAAGATCTAAAGCCTCAGCGGCTTCGGATGATCTGGGTCCTAATCAGCATTGGTCACTTGTTCATCCTCCGCGCACACCGAGCCTACCCAGCCAAAAGACAAACCTGAATCCTAAACCCTGAAATCGTACATACTTCTATCTACATGGACACAGTGCTAATTAGCGGTAGTCGACGGATTCACGACAGTGCTAGAGCCATGCTCATCGGAAGTTCTCGTCCATTTCATTTCAGCAACAGCTCCCAGAATCACGAATCAAGAAAAGCGGTGCGTAGCACAACCCTGGACCAAAACCCTGCCTGCATGCGCTACGTTTGGGGTCCCTCCTGGGTCTCTCGTGGGATACGGTCCCTTGTTGTCTGAAACCTCTGAACCACAGGCACGCCAACCCTAAACACCGAAAACGCAGAACCCTCAAGCTTATTGAACCTTTAACCCAAAGCCTCAAAGCCCTAGGTTGTCAGCTCCCAGATACTGTGGATGAGGACTTCCTTGAGCTAGGCAGCATTGTAGTTGGAGTCCTACTATCACATCCCCGCATACCTTTCTCCAGTACGGCCCCTCCACCCCTAAACCCTGTAGATCCCACCACTAAACCCTAAACCCTAAACCCTAAACCCTTAACGGCCCCGGTTTGAGGCCCCTTTCAACGACTTAGCTTACGAAGGCCCCGATGTTAACACAGTTTAGGGGTTTAGGGTTGAGGGGTTTAGGGTTTAGGGTTTAGGGTTTAGGGTTTAGGGTTTAGGGTTTAGGGTTTAACGATATAACACCGCAAAACCCTCAACCCCCAGAAGATCTGCACCTTGCCACAGGAGTCCATCATGGAGTACTCCTGCAAGCGTTCGGGGTTTAGGGCTGGGTATAAGGATTCGGGCTTGGGCTTCCCATTTGGGGGTTTGGGGTGTTCGGCCATTGGCTGAGGGTGTTGAGCTCACTTGTGGCTGGACCTCTTCGAAATCTAGTCGGCTTGCACTAGGCAGGGCGCTGCGATCGCAAAAAAAGGGAAACTTCTGATTCACCCTGATCCTTAACCCCTAAGCCCTAAACCCTAAACCCCTTTCCCCTAAACTGTAAGCCCTGACTAAACTGCAGGGTCTAAACCCTAAAACCCAACCCCAAGCCAGGCTTTAAGCTTTAGGAAGTGTGTAGTTCTCGAAAATAGGGCGCCGTACTATATTGAGGGGCTGAAGTACCGTCATTTACGGAACTGCCCCAGTAGGGTCCAGGGTTCAAGAGCTTGGGGTTCAAGGCTCACGGATTTTGAGCTCTGATCTGAGAGGGCGTTATATGCAAGGATTCTGTAGAGTCCTTTGGAAGGGTTTCGGATTCAAGAGTATCAGATTCCGTTGCGAGCTCAGAGATTGCTTCTGACATGACTGTCTTGCGCATCGCTTACCCTAAACCCTAAACCCTAAACCCTAAACCCTAAACCCTAAACCCTAAACCCTAAACCCTAAACCGAGTCGGTTCGTGTTAAGGGGCCCCTGTGGAGGGGACCCTGTGGGTTGGCCGAATGGGCATGTTGCGGCCCAACGGGGCCCAATGGGGCCCAACGAGGCCAATTGGTTTAGGGTTTAGGGTTTAGGGTTTAGGGTTTAGGGTTTAGGGTTTAGCGTTTAGGCCCATTGGGCCGCAACACGCCCATTCGGCAAAGTGCAACCCACAGAGGTCCCCTCCACAGGGGCCCCTTATCATCCCTCTGAAAACCCTCCCATAGTGAAGCCAAACAAGGTGGGGGCACCCCTGTAAAATGCTTATGCTTCTGCTATTTTGGGCGTCCCTGGGTGTAGGTCTGTGGGATGATAGGTTTAGCTGCAAGTGTCCGCAGGCCTATCTGATGGGCCTGCGGACATCTGCAGCTAAACTACGCTTGTCGGACCCACTGTAGCAGGTGCTTCTTTCGGGCATTGTGATCCTTGGAGGAGCAGCAGACATAGCATGCAGGTGATATGTAGTCTTATACTTAAGTCGGCAAATCCTAATACGCTCTTGGTGCTCGATTCAGCATCCTCTGGAAAAACGCATCCAGAATAAGGTTACTGCTCAGGTCTGGAGAATGAGCAACAGGGCCCCCTCTGAGTCACTAGGTATTTTTGAGCTCGCTTCCGTACGAAAAACTATGAAACCTCACAAACCTGATAGAGCACACAGTTGGAAAAAAATGTATTCTACTAACTAACTGGTTTGGTTCATGGCTTTAGGGCTAAAGTTCTTAGGATTTGGGTGTTTTGCTTAGTAAAGACTTTGGTAGTTCTCTAAATTAAGGGTCCCTCTTAGGGTGCTTCTTAAAAGGGTACCGCGCTATTTTGGGGATCTAAAAAAAGGACCCTATTTTAGAGAACTACCCATTTAGCCTTAATCAGTAGAATAAGGTTTTGGG